CCGGGGCGGAAAAAAAACCCAGCCCTATTATAATATGGACCCAAAAAAGGGACCCTAATTTAGAAAAGTACCCATGTATGCCCCCATCCCCGGTCTGGAGCCTTGGGGCTGGAATCCTTGCTGCTGTGGAATGCCGGTCGTCTCGGGTTCCCTGTCCTATTAACTGCCGCTGCTTCCGGATCTGAACGTTATTGCGACTGCCAGGCCAAACAGCCATAAGGCTGGGTCGTCTAGTGTTTCCATTTCCTCACTGTTGAACATGTCGGAAGGGCCAATCCGAACGAAGAACCGACCTGCCTGCATCCACTAACAGCGAGGGAGGCAAGCCAGAACCACCCACATCGAGAAAGGTGTTCAGGGTTTGCAGCGCACAAAAAGTTAACATAAGAGCTATTACGATAAGGGCCACTATGAGGGGTGGATCTAGGATCATGAGATTGGGGCCGAATGCCGAAGCCAGCACCCCAGCGAGCCTAGCAATGCCGACGATGCCAATGATCCAATGATCCAAACACTGCCACCATCCCACAACCCTACACCCCAACGATTTAGGGTCTAGGGTTGAGCGTTTAGGGTTTAGGGTTCAGGGTTTAGAGCCTGAACCCTGAACCGTTAACCCTAACCCTCCACCCTCACCCTAGGCGCGGAAAACAGGAGTATGCTCAGGGGCGCGCTGGGCACAGCGCTGCGACCTCCGCAAAAGGCCCCAAAGCATCCAGCACAAAGTACCATAGGGACTGAAATCCTACAGGCTCTAGTACTCTAGGAACCTCAATAATTAGAATAGGGTTTTGGGGTACATCGTACCATAATTATAATAAGAAACCCCCAAAATAGTATAGGTAATTATTAAGGCCTCTAATATTACCATAGGGGCCTGAATGCTACAGGCCTTCAGCCCTAAACTTCAACCCCTAGGCGTCAACATGAGTTCTTCAGCCGTTAGGATGCTGCTGTGAACTTCTTGGGTTTAGGGCTTAGGCTCTAGGACTGCCTAGTGCTGAGTGTCTTCGAGTCGTAGGTGTTGGTCTCCCTAATGTAGGCACCTGATTAAGAAACCCTGGCCCTATAACCCCAATATATTAGGGTTCATATTAAGAACCCCAATAAAGGCCCAGGGGATCTTGATCAGGTTCCTACATTAAACCCCAAACCCTACAGGACTTTGGGTCTTGAGTCTCGGCTTTCAGTCGATGGCGCTTCGCGTAGGCTCTCAGATTGAGATTTGGACCTGACAATCCACAAACCCAGCCTTTCTGAACGCGCGACAGAAGGAAAGGTCCATAGAGTTCAAAAACCCGAACCTTTTCCGCAAAGCCTACATCCTTGCGTAAACCCTAACCCCCCGAAGCTTTACCCCAGGAACCTAAACCCCGCGCAGATTCCCCCAGCAACGGCCTTGGCGACCCAGACATGGCGTAGCTCCGCAGCTGTTAACCTGCACAAAAAAAAAGGGCTAAGTGTTCTGAGGGCTCCCATGTCAAACAGAAGGTTTATGGATTAGGGCTTAGGAGTGTTAAGGTTTGGGAAAAGGGCTTGAGGGCTTAAGGGTTCAAGGGCTTAAGGGTTTAAGGAGTTAAGGCTTTAAGGGTTTCCCGTTTAGGGTTCAGGGTCAGAGTACACATTTTTACTGCACAGCGTCTTTCAGTAGGCTTTCCATGAGTATGCTGAAGTGGGTCCTGGGCTTAGGCCTGTGGCTGTCGGGTGTAAGGCCTGGCTGTTGAAACCACGCGTGCAACTTGAACATGCGCGTCAGGGCCCTGGACGCTTTTGGGGTTCAGGTCCCCAGAGCACTGAACTAAACCCTCAACCCTTAACCCTAAATCCTGAACCCTCAACCCTAAACCCTAAACCCTAAACCCGAAACCCTCAACCCAAAACCCTAAACCCTCAACCCTAAACCCAAAGCCCTAAACCCTCAACCCTAAACCCAAAGCCCTGAACCCGAAACTGAAAACTCTGAGTCAAGCGGCTGCGTCAAGGCTCCGAGGCCAAAGTAGGAGGCAAAGGCCTTTCCAGGCTTCGGCTCCGTAAGGTTCAGGGCTTTTTTAGGGCTTTCTAGGGTTTAGGGGTTTAGGGTTCAGGGCTTAGGGCTTTCTAGGGTTTAGGGTTTAGGGTTTAGGGTTTAGGGCTTAGGGTTTAGGGTTTAGGGTTCAGGGTCTAGGTTTAAGGTGATGTTGAGGATTTAGGGGGAGAGTTTACGGTTTCCGTCTCTCAACTTTGGGGCTTGAGCTATTGGCACCAAGTTTAGCACTGGGAGGCGTTGGATGAGGGGTCTGGCCCTAAACCCTAAACCCTAAACCCTAAATCCTAAACCCTAAACCGGTCGGACATGATGACATCGGACTTTGCAAGGGCGAGGCTTTAGGGTTTAGGGTCCACAGAGACATCGTGGGGTGCTTTTTCCAGGAAGCTCCCCAGAGAACCCAATACCCCTTAATTAAGGAATATACCTTAAATCATAATATTAAGGCCCCTATAATTTAAGGTATATTCCTTAATTAAGGTGTATTGGGTTCTCTGGGTCAAGAGCCCAGAGCAAGAGGCTGCTTTACTTCAGCGTGGGATTGGAGGCGATTGAAAACTGATGGCTCGGTGCTTGGGGCTTTGGATCTACAGCCAGAGATCGGGGAGGTGTTGAGTCTGGGCCAAGGCCCCCAAGTTCGAACCCCAAACCCCTAACCTGAAATCCTTAGCCCGCCAACCCTGGGCCAACCCTATCCGTAAGCCTGAACCTGAAGCCGTCAATACCCCCAGGGTCTGAACCCCAAACCCGATACAAAAAGAACCTGCGGACCCTGAACTGAAAAAGGCAGTCCCTACCCGAAACTGTCCATCGGACGTGGAAACTCGCTTTGGGCCGAGTCTGAAAAGTAAAATATTCCCCTGTCCTCCCTACATATATAGTTTCATGATAACCCTGAGCCCCAAGCCCGTACAGTAATCCTCAAAGAGCCAGGCCTCTACCACTGCCGGAGCCATGACTGGGAAGCGCTTGTGGAGCACCACATGGAAGATGCCTCAGGGCGCAACGCCCGCGAAAGCTCACATATAGGGCTTAGGGCTTAGGGTTTAGGGCTTTAGGGCTTTAGGGTTTAGGGTTTAGGGTTTAGGGTTTAGGGTTTAGGGTTTAGGGTCTAGGGTTTAGGGTTTAGGTTTACGGTTGAGGAACTGAGGGTTCATGGCTGAGGTCTGGGGGTTGGGTTGGGGTTTTCGGCTGCTAAGTGTCTCACAGAATGACCAGTATGGGCATTCCGCCGCACTACTTGATCATTTTTGTTGCTTGCTAGGTCCTGTAGGTCCTGTTGTACATGGATACGCAACGGCATACTGGATGGTTCATAAGTGGATTATTGTGCTCCTTCGCTACTGCACTACTCTGAAACCTGACTGTATCTCAAAGACTTTAGATGAAATTGCGGCAGTGTCATATGGCCACATCGGTTGTTCACCTTCTTATCGGAGAAGCGCAGCATGTTGTGAAGTTAGTAAACCGTGCCTTCTTTGATGGATTCTGATGTTCAGGCGCTGTTGCAGAGGTTCCATGCGCAGCTCAGCAAATGAGAGCCTCACGCGAGGCTAACCCCACCGCATCAAGCGTGTAATAGACGTCAACATATCTCGTTGTACTCACACACCCAAATCGGCTAGTTCCGCATCTCCAATCCTGGCTCCATGCATACTTCATGATTGATTCTAACTCAACATATTCCAGCCTCAGCAGAGTAGTATAGGATGCTTTCTTCGATTTCCTAACTCCGCAACATGTTCTACAAGCTTCCGAAACCCAATCCTGAAGGCTGAAAACTAAACCATCAACACAACCCTAAACCCAAAACAAGGTTCAATCCAAACATGAGCATTATGAACGAACCCGGAGCACCGAAACCCCGAAGCCTCAATCCCTGAACCGCCCAAGGGCCGCGCAGGGATCTTCTAAATTCTCCGACCGCTTCGGGGGCGCTGGCTCTGGCGAACCCTTGCGCTGGCTGTAGGTTTCGAGGTTTAGGACGTCAGAGATTTGGGGTGCAGGGTTTAATCCGGAACATACAAGTACCCTACACGGAACTCAACCTTACAGGCAAAATCATCCCTGATCCCGAAACAAACACCCCTGAAACCCGAAAGCCTATGTCAATCATCTCAGAGCCCGTAAACCTAAATCATCCATGAGACCCTGATGCACTATAACATTCCGGTGCCCGCAGCCCCTTGATGTGCAACCTCAGGCTGCGAAAACTTGACTCGCCGTGTAAACCCCACACCCTTAACCCTAAAATCTACAACCACAACAAGAGAAAAATGCAAAACATAAACTGAAACTTGACAGCTTAAACATCAAGTTGCACTCTCTCTCTCTCTCTCTCTATCTGTCTATCTCTCTCTATATATATATATATATACACCCATAAATATGACTATTCCTGAATATGCAAAACCTTTTTTCGTGTTTCTTGAGCAAAAACTCTTCTCACCTCGGGCAGGGCTCGCAGGAGTGGCCGGGCCCCCGTCAGGTGGTCGATCTGACAGGTTTAGGGTTTTTAAGTTTTTTAGGGTTTTTAGGGTTTAGGGTGCTAGGGTGTTAGGGCTTCGGGTGGTTGGGGTGTTATGGTTTAGAGTTTTGGGTTTAAGGCTTAGGGTTTGCAGGATTTGGGGTTGAGGGAGTTTAGGGCTTTCCGGGTTGAGGGTTTAGGGTGTTAAGGTGTAGGGCTGGGGACTTAGTCTATAGGTCTATATGCTTCCGCAGGGTCTACCATGGATTTAGAAGGAGATCACCGGACGTCAGGCCTCAGGATTGGGGTGTTATGGCCTATGGGTTTTGGGGCTGAAGGACTCTAGGGCTTAGGGTTTTCGGCCTGATAGGGTTTATAGGGGCTTTGGGTTTTAGGGTTTATCGGGTTTAGGGTTTAGGGTTTAGTGTTTAGGGTGTATAGGGGCTTAGGGTCTCTCGGCTTTAAAGCTTCAGGGGCTTTGTGGGCTCGGGTAGTGCCTCGGGGCTTTAGGGTCTAGGGCGGAAGGGCTTGGCCCTAAACCCTAAACCCTAAACCCAAACCCTAAACCCTAAACCCTAAACCCTAAACCCTAAACCCGAAACCCTATACCCTAAACCCGAAACCCTAAATCCTAAACCCGTTGGGGCTCGAAGGCTTCAGGGGCAGGCTTAGGGTTCTAGCGTTTGGGGCTTTCGGTTTAGGGGTTTAGGGTTTAGGGTTTAGGGTTTAGGGTTTAGGGTTTAGGGATCTTAAGGCAATAAGGGCGTTTAGGGAATGAGCGCTTGGAGGTGTTCAGGGGATGTTATATAGAGGCCTTTGTAATAGAATAGGGTTTGGGGGTATCTTATACTCTAGTTATAATAAGGAACGCCCAAAGTACTGTTGTATAGGCTATATATTTAGGCTTCTATGGTAAGTTTGCAGCGCTCCGTGTTGAACGTATGAGGGCCTATTAGGGTTTAGGGGTTCAGGGCTCTAGGGCGGCTCGACGGTTCAGAGCTTGGGGGCTGGGGGCTGAACACTGTCTGCATCCTGGTGTGGTTTCGTGCTTGGGGATTTGGGTATTTGGGGGTCGGCTTTGCCCAGAGAACCCAATACCCCCTAATTAAGGAATATACCTTAAATCATAATATTAAGGCCCCTATAATTTAAGGTATATTCCTTAATTAAGGTGTATTGGGTTCTCTGGGTATTTGCGGGTCGGCTTTGGATCCTGAGCTTCAGGGATCTCCTGCGCTTCTTCGGCGAACACTTTCTGACTGAGCTAGACACATACATTTCGGCAAGCATCTAAGAACCCAGGTAGAATTCCTGTCGTGTGGCACCGGGGTGCAAGAACATAAGGGTGCCCCAAGCATCGAAACCACCCACCCTGCAACCTTTACCTCGAAGTCTGCATGCTCAAGCTGCATCGAGCTGAAACTCAATGCCCCTCTGAAGTAACGAAAACCATGTAGATTGTCAGGGAAGTGTAGCATGAAGTTAAGTCATAGTCCTTCCTTAACGGCGAGCTGAGTGAGAAACTGAAACAGTCCAGCGGCCTGATCTTCAAGCGCCGCCCATCGCTCCCTCCTGCTTTCTGACTCGAGGGCTTCGGGAGCTCGGTGGGCCTTTTGGGGGTTTATAGGGTTTATAGGGTTTAAGGTGTTTAGGGCTTATAGGGCTTATAGGGCTTACAGGGTTTAGGGTTTATAGGGTTTGGGCTGGTACGGGTTTGGATTGAGTGTACCCTAAACCCTAACCCCTAAACCCAGTGGGTTTGATTGGTTGTGTTGGCGTTTTGCTTGGGGCTTCGGCATTTTGCGGCTTGGGTTAATCGCGTTTGGAATTTAGGCTGTTCAAGGGTTCGGGAGTTTGGGGTTTAGGGTTTAGGGTTTCTTTTGGGGCTTAGGGTTTCAAGGGTTTGGGAGTTGCAGATTTGGGGCTTTGGGCTTCAAGGGCTTGGGCGTTGGGGATTCAGGCTTCGCTTCTCGGGCTGGAGGAATTTGCATTTTGGTGTTTAAAGATTTAGGGCTTCGGATCTTAAAGTCTCAAGGTTTAGGCTTCTAAGCAACGCCAAAGCCGGTACACTCACAAATTGAGGCCACTTGCCAGCTTCTTAACAGGATCCGCAGGAGGTAGCGCCGGAGCTCCTCAACAGCACTTGACACCGCGCGGCAACTCCCCGCCAGGTCAGTGGTCCACTTGGTCTTCAGCGGTAGCTCGCACAACCACGCACGCGTGCCATCGGTTAACTGCCGGTGACCAGTACGGGATCACGAGTCTGGCGAGGTAGGCCCGGAGGTCCTGCTCCGGATGCTCCGGATCTGCCAATGCGAATTCCTCCGCCAGGTCTTCCATGCGAAAGCTCCAGAGCTCCCAGGAATTCTCGAGCGCTTGCTTTAGCTCGAGCTCGGTCATCTCCGTGTGGCTGCTGTCTGCAAGCATTTCCCAGGAGATCTCTTCTTTGAGCCTTTGGGATATATTACAAAAACTTACAACAAGGAAAAGTTCTCGAGCAGCACGAAAGACCCAGAACTTAAGTCCTAAAACTCTGAAGCTCAAGCCCTAAAACCGAAAGCCCTAAAGCCCTGCAGCCCCAAATCTTAACCCCCCCTGAAGTCCTAAAGCCCCAAAAATCCTAAAAGTCTAAAGCCCTTAAACCATCAAAAAGTCCTGGGGTCGTAGACATCAAGCCCTTAAGTCCCAACATCCCAGAAGCCTTGAGCCCTAAAGGCCCTAAAGGCCTAAAGGCAACAATCCTCACGCCTTACAGCTCTAAACCTTAAAGCCATGGCTGAGTCACTGAAGCCCGAAAGCCCCCAAATCCTAAACCTCTAAACTCTCAAAAACCCCAAAGCCCTGACACCATCGTCATAAACGCCGAAGCCCTAAGGCCCTAAAGCCCTGAACCCGAAAATCGTCATGCCCTACGGTCCCAAACCCGAAAATCCCTGCCTAAGCCTTTCACCCCTGAACCCTAAATTCCTCATGCTCTACAGCCCTAAACCATAAAACCCTCCCTAAAGCCCTAAACCCTCAGACACTAAAATGCTCTATAAAGCCCTGATGCCCTCCCTACGGCCCGGAAGCCCTGAACCCTAAATCCTAGAACCCTTATGCCCTGTGCGACATGGCCCCAAAAGCTCTAAATCCCCAAACCCTAAACCCTAAACCCTAAACCCTAAACCCTAAACCCTAAACCCTAAACCCTAAACCCTAAATCCTTCTGACACCCCAGAAGCCTCCCTGAAGCCCTGCAGCCCTCCCCGAAGCCCCGAAGCCCTGAACCGAAAGGTCCTCCTTATGTTAGGGTTTTTTTTTTGTTAGGGTTTAGGGTTTAGGGTTTAGGGTTTAGGGTTTAGGGTTTAGGGTTTAGGGTTTAGGGTTTAGGGTTTAGGGTTTAGGGTTTCGGGTTTAGGGGTTAGGGCTTGAAGGCTTTATGGCCTAGGGTTTAGGGCCTATAACTCTACAATACCTTTAAATCCAAGGGTTTAATGGTTTAGGGTTATTCCCGGCAGTCCTAAAGCCCTAAGCCTCGACATCCCCCCTAAAGCCCTCCCCAACGCCTGAGCCCCCAAAAAGATCCGTAATGATGCCCAGTAGCCCTAAGCCCTAAAGCCCAGTAAAAAAACCCTAAACCCTAAACCCTAAACCCTAAACCCAAACCCTCAGCCCTCAAAGAAGCGCTGGAGCCCTAAACCTCAACATCCCAACCTCGTGCGGTCGCGCAGGGCCGCGAAGAAGAGCCGACTGCCGGCCTCGACGGAGCGAGGTTCCTTTAAGGGTTCGCGTCAGGGTTCCGTTAAGGGCTCTGTAAGGGTTGCTTTTAGGGTTTAGGGTTTCTGGGGTTTTAGGGTTTTAGGCTTTTAGGGTTTAGGGTTTAGGGTTTAGGGTTTAGGGTTAAAGGGTTGCTTCATGGGTCATATACGGGTACTATCGGCCGTAGGGTTTGGGGTTCACGGTTTAGGGTTCAGGGTTTAGGGATTAGGGTTTAGTTTTTGTGTGGGGGGTTAGGGCGTACGTCGAAGAGGTACCAAGCTACTGCATCCAGCCGATGATGGTCAGTCTCTGGTTTAAGGTGTGTCGGTTCGGGTTTAGGACTTTGGGCTTCTGCGTTTAGGATGTTGGCATTGGATGAAGCCCGTGACTACTAATAGGGTTTAGGGTTTAGGCATTTAGGGTTTAGGGCTTGGGGTTTAGGGTTGGTTATTGTGGGGCCGGTGATGGTAATAGCAGCAGGGGAGACAATGGTAGGGTATGCAATGGCAACTGCATTGTAACATAGGGTAAAGCAACGCACGGCAAAGAAAAGGCAAAGGTTAACAACCCGCGGACATTCAGATATAAAATATAATATAATATAATATAATATAATATATAATATAATATAATATAATATAATATAATATAATATAATATAATATAAAATATAATATAATATAAAATATAATATAATATAATAGACACTCATATTCTTGGAGTTAAGGGGTCGCAGCCTCGTGCCTAGTTCTACGAAAATTTGTGGACAGCCTGTGAAAAGTAACCCTAACGAAAGACATGAAACCCCTTGGATGCAAATCAGCTCTAGACCCTTCAAAGCAAAAAGAATAAACAAAAAGCATGGCCTTAAAGCGAAAACCTAACCCTGAGATCCGAAACTAACTGCTCTCTAAGCTCCTCACCCCCACATGCTCAACAAGGTGGAATTTAGGACTCCAACCTTTACGCTGCAGGAAGTTATTCGGGGTTTGGCAAGACCCTTCTCATTCCACAGCAGAGTTCCGTGAATTCTGTACAAAGCCTACATGTCTTGAGGTTCTTGGGTTCCTAGCTTGCTCGTACATCGTAGTAGCTAGTGGTTTTGGGAAGAATTTGGAGTTAGGGTTTAGGGTTTGGGGAGTTGGGTTTAAGGGTTCAGGCGGTAGGTCGACCCGAAGAACGCGAAAGCCCGAAACCCAAACCGCAAACCCTGAAAACATGAATGCAAAACGGAACCCCGAGCCGCTCCAGCCCCTAATATCGGGGTTGTATGTAATGATTAGAGCAGACCTTTGGGGTACAGCGTACTAGGCTATAAGATACTACACGTATAAAATACTCCTTATGATTCCAGCCCCTAAGATAGGGGCCTCAGTAGTTACCTATACTATTTTACGGGTGAAGGGGGGCTCCTTATTATAAGTATCGTATAATATACCCCCAAAACCCTATTCTAATTATTAAGGCCCCTATATTATGTCATATGGAAGCCCCTGAGACCTGAACCCCTAACACTCTTCGAGCCCCTATGTTTTCATCTCCTGAACTCTCAACCCCGAAGCCGCCAAACCTGAACCCCGAAAAAAAAAAAAAAACGAGAACCCAATACACCTTAATTAAGGAGTATACCTTAAATTATAGGGACCTTGATAGTATGATTTAAGGTATATTCCTTAATTAAGGGGTATTGGGTTCTCTGGGCCTAAGCCCGTCAACCCTAAACCCTAAGCCCCGAGTCTAAGTTTCTCGCAGCAGGTTTTCGCCGCATCTTCTTCCGAAGGTACTGCAAGAATTCCTCGGCTTAGAATTTTGAGGCTTAGGTTTGAGGGCTCAGGTTTAGGGGGCTCCTAGGCTTAAGTTGGCTTCCCTCGCCTTACAGAACCGTAGTGATTCCGAAACGGAGAGGTCCTGTTGATCTTGGATCCCTGTTGCGGGGATCCATGCAATAAGGATCTTTGTATTTGGAGCTTATCTCGGTTGCTCGTTTCTGCAACCTCGATGTCGTTGTCATGATGATTCTGGTATGAGGATGGATCGGGACTGGTAGAAGCATCAGCGGCATTGTCCATCACGACGTGCACTACCTTTTCATCGTCTAATCCTTGCATTGAACTAGTTGGCACAAGGGCTCGCCTTCGTGTTGCCATGCTGGCCAACTGGTGATGGCTGAAGTGCACAAGGCTCTCAAGCAGAACAACCACTATAATACGAAGGGCTTCGCCAAAAGACTTACATTAGTACGAACTTCCAGAAGATACGACCTCCATTTGGAACACGGATTCAGGAAAAAATCCCCGGGAAGAATACCATCAACCCTAAACCTCGAACCCTTCGGACGTGGAGCATGAGCTTCTGGAGCCGGACCGGTCGTGTGTGAGGCTCAAGGGGGGTTTGGGTTTAGGGTCTAGGGTTTAGGGCCTTTCGGCTAGTACTGGGAACTTAATGTAGGGGCCTTAATGATCAGAAAAGGGTTTCGGGGTATGTATATTTACTATAACTATAGTAAGGAACCCCCAAACTCCTACTCTACTTCTTAAGGCCCCTACATTATCGACATGCCCACTTAAGGGTTGAGTGTGTCATGTCTACTGTTAGAGTCGCAGGAGACTCTTGTACCAAGCTGTAGTAACTTTTTGTTGGTGGGCCCGGGGTTGCGGAGGAACGCCTCCCCAACAGCCCCAACACAAGGGCCTATGAGTTTAGAGTTTGGGGTCTTTGGGTTTAGGGTATGCAAGCTGTACGTACGGATTGTGGTGGATTTGGAGAAGTGCCTTCGGTGTGACTTGCGGTAATTTTGAGTTCAGGTCCTCAATCCTGATCAAGTCTTGACCTGAAACACGAAAACTCAAGACGCTGAGCCTCCAGCCTGTAATAGAAGCCATAAAATTGGAACACTAGAATCCTCATGCCCTTAAGGTAAAGTATAAGGGATCCTGGCAGTAGTCAGCCTAAGCCCATGTTCCAAGCTTCTGGTGGTTTGCTGTCGGAACCCTGAAACCTGAACCTTCCAAACACAAAGCGTCTGAGTACAAAACCCAGAGGCCCTCCAACACAAACTAGGCAACGCTAAACCCCTAAAAACCCCATAACTTCTAACTATGTGATGCTGACAAACCCTGAAAACAGACGGTTTGTACGTACGTGGGATAACTTCTAACCATGCGATGCAACCCTAAACCCTAAACCCTAAACCCTAAAACCCTGAAAACAGACGGTTTTTACGTGGGAGAGCACGAGCTCAAGACTCTGCCGGGTGTCGTCCTCATCCGGTCGCGTCCACTGCGTGCGACCCGTGGCCGCCTGCATGAAATACCTCTGCTAGGATCATAGGTTTAGGGTTTAGGGTTTAGGGTTTAGGGTTTAGAGTTTAGGTTTATAGTTCTGGTTATAGTGCTAGGATCATAGGTAGTACGATTAGGGGTACCCCTTAAAGGGTACCCCTTCTGAACCCTACTTTGGGCTCTCTTATAAGGGACCTTATTGAGAGGGTCTATATCCCCAAGGGTCCCCCTAATCTTAGCTCCAAGATCATTGGGTTATAGGTTTATAGTTCGGGTTGTAGGCGCCGAGGCTTATAGGGTTTAGGCTTTAGGGCTTAGGGTTTAGAGCTCTACCATCTGGGGTTTTAGGCTTAGGATTGCTAGAGTTCGAATATTTATTCGTCCCGCTTTGGGACTCTTAGGTTGAGGGTTTGGAGCTGGGGACTTGGAACCCCAAACCGTAAAGAAGGAACAGCCATGAACTACCGTCCACCCCAAGCCCACGAACTCTAAACACAATTGGGAAACTTGTTGTCGTCAACCACCAACAGCATCATCATCATCAACAACAACGACGCATCATCAACTCATCAACTCATCATCCTCATCATCCTCATCATCATCATCACCATGACAACCGCCGTCATGACCAGAACCAGCCCGCTTACATTACACCGAAGTGCACTATCACCCGTGGTCTTACAACTGTCGTGCTAATTCGACGACGGCACCAGTCCGAACATCGAAAGGCCCGTTCCCAAGCTTCATGGACCCTTCTATTGCTTTTCTGGTCCCGGGGCTCTCGTGTTCATGAAACGGGTTTAAAATGAAACGTTTCGTGATGTGGCCCCCGAGAGTAAAGGATGAGGATACAGGATCTCGGAGTTCAGGGTTCAGCTTCCAGGTGTCTCGGTTTATCCCGGTCTCCGGGATCGGGATTATCACAAAATCCAAGTAAACCCTAAACCCTAAACCCCCAAGCAACAGAAGCCTCGACAAAAACCGGGGCACGTGTAGCCGGAGCCGTACTCGCAGTCCTCACCTGTCTGGTGGCTGGTCCACCTCAGCTGAACTCTTAACGGTTTAGGGCTTAGGGTATAGAGGTTTAGGGTTTAGGGTTTCTCGAAGCTCTAAAGGCTTAGACCTTGCTGGATTGCAATAGCTCTAGGCATGCACAACACGTATCGAGTACTACATAAGCTAAACTCTAGGACTTATTCATAGGTGTGTATATATATATATATATGTAGATTAATTGATTTATTTACTTATTTATTTATTAAACGAGAAGCATGAGACAGCTATAACGTTGGTCTTATACCCTAAACCCCAAAGCAGACGCCAAGAAAGGCCCTGAAACATAACGAACCCCTAAACTTTAGACCCTAACCTTAAGACCCCTAAAGCCCCTAGACCCTAACGGCCATGACAAGTCTGGAAGCAATGGAATCGGAAGCCGGAGGTCACTGGTTCAGGGCTCAGGGATCAACAGACGAAAAATGAAGGGGGCCTTGATTTTTTAGACTGGGGTTTCTTTAGAAGGGCTCCCCCTAAAGGGTTCTAAACGGGTTATTGTAAGGGTCACTACTAGAGGTGTTGAGTTTCGAGGCCTGAATCATTAGAATGGCTGGTGTAGAAGGGTCCAGTTCAAGGGTTCGATAAGGGTTGCCCTGACGGGCAACTGTAATTGCTTTAGTATCTTTGATTTTGGTGCCTTAACACTTGGAATAGGGTTTGGGTTTTCTGGTAGTTTGTAAAATGCGGAACACCAGGGAATAGGATGAGCAATTCTTCGGGCTTCTAGGGCAGGGCCTGAGGGCCCAGGAACCTGGGCTCGAGATGTGAGGGTTTAGGTTTAGGGTTTAGGGTTCAGGTAGGGTTTGGGGTTCAGTGTTTAGGGTTTCGGGTTCTGAGGTTTAGGGTTTCGGTTCAGGGAGATGAGTGAGTGGTTTAGAAGCACGTCTAGGAGTGTACGGCACGGTGTCTCGGGACTTGGAACTTGGTGGTCCCAAAGTCTCAGCAGAGAACGCGTGTCTGAAATTTTCGAGCCCTTGCAATCGTAGGGTGCAGGGGTCTACCTGTAGAGTCAGTACCTTCAAACAATTGCTGAAATGTCGGTCCTGGGGCTGTATATCCTGAACCCCAGGATTCAGAGCCACAGGCTTCTAGCTTGAAGGCTAGGGGCCATGATCCTCAGAGCCCTGGGGCAGAGGCTTCAGAGGGGCTGGGCATGAGCTCTTAGGGCTAAGGGCCCAAACCCGTAAACCCCTAAACCCCTAACCCCTAAACCCCTAAACCCCTAAACCCCTAAACCCTAAACCCTAAACGCTAACCCCTAAACCTTGAACCCCTGAACCTTAAACCCTAAACCCTAAATCCTAAACCCTAAACCCTAAAACGGCCATGCACAAACATGATGATGCATAATGGCTGTCCGGACGGTCGGCATCTCGGCGCACGGATGACACCGTTTCTACCTTCGCCGGCCCGTGGCTGCTATATAAATCTGCTGCTTTGCTAGTGTTGATTGACATGCCAAACCGACCCATGAGCTTCAGCGAGCTCCCAATCCATGCACGAGGCTGTAGACCTGCTGTCCAAGTTGCTTCTCCACACCAGGACAACAGCAGCCCCCGAACAAAGCATCCCAGTCCCTTCTTCTGCCTTACCTGCCCAAGTCCAGCCCAGCACAGCCCAGCCCAGGCCAGCCCCCCAGCCCAGCAGCCCTGCCCCGGCCCAGCCCCAGCCCAGGCTCGGCCCACCAAATTCAAAACATGGTTCCAAATCAAAACTTTCGTTCAAAACTTTCGTTCAAAACGTTTCGGTCAAAACTTTCGGTCCAAACTTATTGGCACCCAAACCCTTAACAATTTCTATACACCCCTACACCCTAAACCCTAAACCCCTAAACCCCTGAACCCCTATACGCCCCCTTTGGGGCGTTGGGCCCTGCAGTTGGAGTTTCGGGGTCGGCGTTCGTGGTTGAGTGCTTCTGCTCAAGTCGAGGCTAAAAAAATGAGAAAGAGCAACATATGGGTAACACCATTCTTTATAGCTCAACAGAACTAGAGCATTAGTTATAGTATATTATATTGGACCCCAAAAAAGTCATGTAGGACATACCGGAACTAGTTCATTTATAGAACCCCCTCTGGCCTCGCACACGCAGCCTTGCAGGATAAGCCCGAAGGTCTTAAACCCTGAACATCAACCTCAATCCGAGAAGCCGGCACAACGGTCTAAACGGCCTTGGTCCTAAACTCTCCAACGCAGCCCGCAGCCATCTTGACCCTCACGCACCAGTTAAAGAACACCAGAGCCTAAACGCTGGACCCGACAACCTGGGCTCTTAACCTTAGAAGAAGCACACCTCAAAACCTCAAGGCAACCAGCCTGTAAACCTGCAGCCGCTGATCACGGAAAGCCGAGGACCGGACCCCGCCGGGAGGGGCCGTCGCAAGTAGTCGTCCACCTCGTGGCGAGTTCAAGGACGTCTGGGTCCGAAAGGTTGCAGGGCTTCGTACGCAAAGAGCACCCGCTGCGTCGCTTGGGAAGGCTCGGAGTGCTGCTGCCGATTGAAAACGTGATGGTGGTGATCATAGTAATGATTTAGGCGATCATGGAGCTGAGGATGAGGAGAAGGAGGATGAGGCAGGCGATGCAGATGAGGCTGGAACTACGACTGATGTTGCATATGCTGGTGGTGAGGATGTCGTGCATGATGTAACCGGCTGTCATGCTGGTCATTCAGGCACTTCACGTATAATCCATCGATGGTAGTTCTTTTCTGCTTGCTCTTGCTACTGGGAAGTTGTGGGTAGCATTGTGGCTGCGATTATCTTCGTACTGATCTTCATGGCATATGCTGGTGAGTGCCATTGCTATGATGGTATGTCTGGTGAAGCTACCGCCGCCAAAATTTCTTTGTATGGCTGATGTGCTCAGCATCTGCGAAGATTCTGGTATCGATCCTTCGTTTACACACTGATGTTGCCCGACGGATTGCCATTGGTAAGCATGTATCTGGGATCCAGTGTCCTCTTTGCACCTGCAAGCTGCATGACCTCTCGGCTAGCGATTCCATCCGTGATGATTTGGTCGTGATGATGATGCTGGGAACAAACACTGACAGCGGGCAACATTCGGTTCAGGATGGACATCACTAGCGCTGCGACTACTATGAGTCGTCCATTTAATGTTTCTCCTACGTTATTGTCGCACTACTGCCATGTCTATCGTGACAACGAATGCTACCGGGGCCACCACTCTCCCGTACCTCCTATAATTTTGTTGTTCTCGTCATTCTGATCCAACATGGACTGTGGGATTTGGGGGAAGAATCCAGTGTTAGGGTGCTGAAGCTCAGCTCGAGATTTGTGAATGCGGGACTGTAAGGCAAACGAGAAATGTAGTTGTACAGAAAAGATCTCCTAGCCATCCTCAAGTTTGCAGCTCCGCCCCTTCCCCCCCCCGCTCCCCAAATAAAGCCCCCAGACCCTCCCCTTCTAAAGAAACTAACTAAATAAGACATGAATCCCAAAAGCAAACCAACTTTGCAGCTCCCAGCCTCTGTGATGAGGTCGGGCTCTGCTGTGGCATCCACCCCCAGGTAAACGCAGAACTGAGAGACATACCTTACATGTTTTAGGGTCTCGGGCTTAGGGAGTAGCGTTCTACAGCTGCGGTTTCGGGGATTTTAGGGCTTGTAACGGGAACCTCTAAGGCGGAACCGAGGCTTGGTAGAAATGGAGATGTTGGCTTTGAGCCACTGGCAACAGAAACAACGGCAAGAACGACCTGCAGCTGAACCTTCAGGGTGGTCATGTTCGGTTTATAGTCCTACACCCTGCCCCTAAAGCAATAACCCCTAAACCCGAAGGAAGAACAAAGGCCCGACGTCGCTAATCTACATCTAAGGCCTCGGAACAGCCTTCTGGGCTCTGGGCAGGGTACAGGTCCAGGGTCACCCAGAGAACCCAATACACCTTAACTAAGGAATATACCTTAAATTATAGGGGCCTTAATATTATGATACCTTAACTATAAGGAATATACCTTAAATTATAGGGGGCCTTAGTATTCTGATTCGAGGCATATTCCTTCATTCAGGGGTATTGGGTTCTCCGGGCAAATATATAAATAAGGTAACTATACTTATAAGTAAGTATAACCCCAATTAAGGTAGTTATAACCTTACTTACCAAGTCCCATGATCCTCCAAGTAGAAGCTGAAGGATTGCCATCCCTGGCCTGATGATTCAAAAGTATCCCCCCGAAGCCCTGTTCTGTTCTGCGCGCCGGCCCTCAAAGCCGGAAGGACCCAGGGTTTAGGGTTTAGGGTTTAGGGTTTAGGGTTTAGGGTTTAGGGTTTAGGGTTTAGGGTGTAGGGGTTAAAGACTTTGGGTTTTGGGGCTTCGTAGGATGAGCCCAGATCTTCGAACGAAACTCTACTGCTCCCAAGCCCGAGACCTAGCATTTGATTCCCGAACACCCCCCTTAACTCGAACGGCCATGGGATCAGGGTTTAGGGTTCAAGGATTAGGGTTTAGGGTTCCGGGTTTATGGTTTAGGGCCCCCAAAATCCTAATTCTTGGAGACTCCGAGTCCCCTAAACTTAGGGTTTAGGGTTTAGGGTTTAGGGTTTAGGGTTTAGGGTTTAGGGTTTAGGGTTTAGGGTTTAGGGTTTAGGCAAGTCTGATCCCGAAGCCCCCCAACTCTCTTGAAGCTCCGAAGACAAACGTGCGAAGCTAACTTTGTACCCTCAAGGCTGCACCTGGAACCCTGAACCCAAAACCCTAGAGCCTTTGCCTAAACCCTAAACCCTAAACCCTAAACCCTAAACCCTAAACCCTAAACCCTAACCATACACCGAGACCGCCCCCCCAAGTCGCATCCTGGGACTCTCGAAGATGAACCCTTAAACTGAAAGCCCCCACAGTAAAATCCGAAAACCAAGGCTGCCAGAGTCACTCCACATACTGCTCCTCCTGCCGGGAAAAACTCGTAGTGGGATCTTCGTGTTAGCAGGAGCAGGACCAGAAGTAGGAGAAGTAGGCAGCAGAAGAAGTCGTCGTCGTAGTGGGAGCGGTCGTGGTCGTGGTCGCAAGTGGTGGAAGCGTTCAGAAAAGCTCGGGCTCGGCACGAGAAGTTCAAGTTGCCCCCGAGGGTTCAGGAAACTTCGGATGCGGGACCTTGGGTGTCAGACTTCGGGTTCCGAAGATGTCAGCAGCTTCGAGTGTGGGTTCCTGGTTTGGGCCTTATTGGCTTGGGGTTCCGGGACTTGGGAGCCGTGGGATTTAGGAATAACGGTTCTCAAAACAAGGTTGCTTCACGTGGAGAAGGTTGAGACAAGAGAACGTTAGGTATGGGATTTCGGGGCTCTTCCTGGGTAAGTCCGACAGACAGGTGTCCAGATCCGGAGTCTTCTCAGCATCAGGCCTACAGAAGCTGTAAAGCCTTGACTGCTGCAAACCTAACCGGCCGAACCCCTACACCCTAAACCCCGAGCCCTCAGACCAGACCCTAAACTGCCCTAAACCCCCCAAAACACTAAACTTTAAAGCCCTAAGCCCTAAACCCTAGGCCCTAAACCCTAAACTTTAAGCCCTAAACCCTAAACTTTAAAGCCCTGAACCCTAAACCCTAAACCCTAGGCCCTAAACCCTAAACTTTAAACCCAAACCCGAACCCTAACCCTGGGATGCCGACGAGCCCCAGACTCCCACAAATCGCTCTCTACATGTAGGTTTAAGGTTTAGGGTTTAGGGTTTAGGGTTTAGGGTTTAGGTGCACCAGTCCTCCTCCGCGGAAGTCTTGCTGGACTTCTCCTGTGCTCTCAAGCCCCCGAAATCCGAAGCCATCAACTCTAAAGCTCGCCTTTTTCAACATCTTACTTGGAGGATCATGGGACTTAGTAACTAGGGTTCCTTAAAGGGGTCCTTAAAGGGATCTATGAGGGTTCTATAGGGGGGGATTAGGGTTACTTGGAGGATCATGGGACTTAGTAACTTGGGCTATAAATAAGGTAAGTATACTTATAAGTAATTATAACCCCAATTAAGGTAGTCATAACCTTACTTACTAAGCCCCATGATCCTCCAACTACTCTAACCTTAAAGCCCAAACTTCTACAACCCGGCTTTAGGGTAGGGCTTCTAGGGTTTCGGATGTCATCGTGCGTTCAGAGTCAGGGCGTACGGTTTTTGATGCTGTTTGATGTCCTCCTCAAACTGTTTGTGCATCAGGATTTCAGTGTTAAGAGGCTTTTTGCCGGCTGAGGCTATGGAGATGAGGACTTGCCCTTAGTGTTGAGGGTTTGGGGTTGGGGGCTTAGGGTGCAGGCTTCCGGACTTACGTTTAGAGCTTAGGATGTCCGAAAACCCTGGGCCTCCGACTCATGGAGTTTAAGGTTTAGGGTTTTGGGTTTAGGGTTTAGGGTTTAGGGTTTAGGGTTTCTTGTACTATGGCCTCTCCTTTTTTCCCCGATCCGGGCACCCGGATACCTTGATGCCGGGTGCTACCCTAAACCCTAAACCCTAAACCCTAAACCGCATCTTGGGGCGTCCAGGGTTTGCTCTTCAGCCGCAAGCAACGGCCTGAAGATCGAGAGCCCCCGCCAAAGCCAACCCCCAGTGTCAAAGTAAGGAATCAAAATAATACAATATGATATAGTATAATATAGTATAATATAGTATAATATAGTATAATATAGTATAATATAGTATAATATAGTATAATATAGTATAATATTAATTTCCCTCAACTCTAATAGTCTAATCGCCGGCCCAACCCCAAACTCGAAACCCTACAGCCCAAGCCTCCAGCTTATAGATCGCGAAATACCAATAGCCTAAACCCGAAGTTTACACAACTACAGCTTTAATCCTAAAGCCGCAAGGCGACTGCGAAACCTCCCATACCAACCCTCATAAACCAGAAAAGTCGCAATTCTACAAACCCAAGACCGTGAACAAGAAGTGCCCATCGTGCCTTGTCCTTGGCCTCTGCCTCGGACGACTTGCCTTCTCACAGTGGGACCGATAGCAGGCTTCAGAAGGGCTTTATCAGATCTCTGCTTGGGCCATTAGATACAGATCCTAAACCCGAGATGCCCCATACACTAAACCTTACACCTCAAACCCTGCCCGAAACCCTACACCCTAAGCTCTATCATCTGGCATCCATCGTCTGGGGCAGGGGAATTCGGGGCCGTCCGAGTACTGCTAATACCGGGGTCTCAATAGTGCCCGCTGCTGACAGCATCTGACAGCCATCATTACAACACAACCACTAGCCTTGAATCATATTCTTTTGGCCCCCTTTTGTATTCCTTTCCCGAGCCTTCTTTGCTGTCTTTGGAACTCGCCTGTTGCTTCTCATCCTGCGCAGAATTGCAAGGTTCGGGGGCTGAGAATCTGGAAGCCGTGGCACCCAGGTTTCGGGTCCTTGGTGCAATTCTTGAGCGAGGCTGCAGCAGAAAGGCATGTTAGTTCTGAGTCTGCGCATAAGTAAGAAGTGAGCGCACAGGGGCTTCAGCCTAGATTCCGCCATACCCCAGGGCCCAAGACTACCCTAAACTCTAAACCCTGAAGCCTGAATCCTAAACCCCGAGCCCTGAAGTAGCAACAAACTCTGAACCCGAAACCCTAAGCCCAAAACCTTGACAATGCAAGGGTCCTCGGAGTCCGTCTCTGCATTGATGGCTGTGACGATGTCACTGGCAAGGCAAGGACAAGGGTCCCGGGCTTAGGGGACGTCGAACCGGACGAGAAGCTATGTCGGCGTCTACATGAAGCGTTTTTGAAGCTTTACTGTGTGGGTGGGGGCAGAGAGCCATATTGGACTGCTGCTACTTCTAGCTTCTACTAGTTCGGTCGAACCTACCGTCACTATGATACATGCTGTTAAATGTAGCCAAATAGGACAGCTGTGTATGTTCGGAGTTTCGAAGCAATGTGCCACACAAGCGCATTATTTGCCGCAGCAAAGTTTGCCAGAAGGATATTCCAAAACCTAGGAGGAAGGGTAACCACTTTTGCACACCTGTGCAGATTTCGCTTGCACCAGCTGGGTCGAAGATGGTCTTCGACATCAGCATAGCTCCCTCTTTCTCTACACGATGTGCAACATATTGGGAGTTTCCGAAAACAAGGGGTACCTTATTTTGGGGTCCTTATAATAAGGATCCTACTAATACTATTTAGGGTACTATATTGGGGTCCCCAATTTTCGGAAACCCCCATATTGCATGACGAATGATTGAAGCCACAAGAAAAACTCCCCAACACATGTCCACCCTGGACCTCTCCGGCCCTTGGAAACCAAAACCCCTAAGCCCCAAACCCTCAAGACCTTTACCTCGAATGCTGGAGTCCCCCTATGCACAGTTTCAGGGCCTCTGAGAGAAGCAGATAAGCACCCCGAAAAGGGTACATAGCTTATGTAGTGCATGAAGAGTTAGGTAGAGGTCTGTGGAGCATATGAGGCTGTCAGCCCATGTACAGTGGAGAGCGAGAGAGAAAGCAAAACTGCTTTCCAAAGTAGATCAAACGACGAAGTCTTGAAGCTCGAGTGCTGTTTTGTCTCTTGCCTGTCGAAGAGAAGCTTTTGCTGTGCAAAATGGCTCCGGCACCCTCGCCCAAACAGCTGGATGCCAAAGCTTCGGTGTGACCTCCTGTACAGCAAAACGGAAAAGTTAAAGGCGTTCCCAGGTCTGCAATGTTTTATTGCGGACACAAGGGCGTGATGATGCCGCTGTATAGGCATCACTGGGGGTCGGTGGCCGTCTTTGAGAAGCACTGCCGCGCACGGCTCGGCTTCTTCGTGACCAGCGCTACGTTTCGTCGGAGCCACTGGTCACTGGGCGGCAGGCACTCCTGGGACAGAGACAAGGACAACGAAATCTTGGGTACAGGTACTATAGGCTGCTATAGAAGGGGTCCCCGTAAAGGGCACTGTAGGGTTCTATGGCTCTTTGCCCTAAATCCTGAAACCTAGGCTTTGAGGGGGCACGCCTTGACCACGAAGTCGGCCACATCTGCTCGTGGGATGGTGGGGTACGCGCCGCAGGCATCTTCTGCGGCATGCCAGTGCCCTTTGCCCTCGCCGTCGATGAGCCCGCCCGGCCGCACGACGACCCAGTTCTTCAACGTCCTGACCATCTCCTCGCAGGGCTGCCCTTTCTGGTCTCTCTCACAATGAACTACTGTCTGCGCTCAAACCCGGAAGAGAAGCAGAATCCAGAACAACGCCGATGGTGCCATGAGAACGCATCAGAACTGGATGCTGGCAACACTAACAATCAGTACCATCACACGAAGAAGTGCTCAGTGCTCCTCCTGGAGGTGCTTGTCCGCAAGGGCCTGTGGGATGATCCAGCTCGCGAAGAACTTCGCGAAAAGGCTGCAGTGCTGGTAGTGGTCTCCTACCTGCAGCGTAGGAGCTGCAGGGTTTCGGGTTTCGGGATGTTTCGGGCTAACGGCTTTCACCTTGAGTTTAGGATTCTGGAACAACGCACGAGCGCGCAGAAAGACAAGCTTCAGCAACGGAAGGCCGGATTCAGATGATACTACGAGATTCAGACAGACACCCATACCGCATGCTGACATCAAACATGTGCTTGTATGTCTGTGCATATGAATGAATGTATGTACGTTCGTACCTGTGTCTGTCTGTCTGCATGCATGTCTTGTGCAGGTATAGTACATACTGACTGATTGTTCAAGCTAGCAAGGGGGCTGCGGCTGGCAGGGTCAGCCAGAACAGTCCACAAGTGCATGGGGGCGACTAGCCTGCACGACGGCCGACATACTTCTAGGGTTGCTCTGAGCTCTGGTCTGTACCCCCGTGCAGAAGCTGTCAGGGCTCATCAAAGTCAAGATCTGCACTGCGCCCCGCAGCCGCAAACATCAGCTGCGAGGAAAACGACTTGCTCGATCGTGTATTCCTCTCTCAACATGAGGCATCTTTCCTAGGTCCCAGGCCCTCAGTGCGACGACGTGACACACAGACTGCCAAGCTTAAGAAGCTCATAACTGCTGGACAGCCACGCCGATAGAGCTGACGCAGACCATGCGGGAGTCGGATGCTCCTACAGCCTCGTTGATGACCTGCGGCAGAGGGACTTGGCTTTGTGGCTCGGTGTAAGCTTGAACCCCAACTGGGCCGAAAACCCTAAATCCCCGACCCCAAACCCTAAGCCTGAGAGCCTAAACGCAACCTCACATCCCTGCATCCTAAACTTGTCCTAAACGCCAAGTCTTGAGCCGTAGCCCGAAACCCCCAAACCCCAAACTTAATTCCTAAACACCAACTCACCTTATGCCGAAACCCGAAGAGCGATGCTCGAGCCATAACCCTCTATGCTCCCAGCTTCCCTACAGTCACGCACGCCAACGGAGTTCCCCGATCCTGAATAGTAAGATAGGAATAGGCTTTAGGCCTTTAGGGCGTACGGATCCTTATCCGAAAGATCCCTCAATAAGGTACGTTTGGCTCGGAAGGAGTCGTTGCTTTAAGGGTTTAGGGTGTAGAGTGTTTTAGGGTTCAGGGCTTTGTGTGTTTTGAATTTTGTTGACCTCCTCCTTCTTATCAAGGGCTTTAGGACTTGAGGTATTAGGGTTTAGAGTTTCGGATGTTGGGCCTGGGGTTTGGGGATGAACCTAGCCAGGCAGGTGTCGGATGTTCACCTTGGAGATGTGGGTCGAACCCCATAATATCCCTAAACCCTAAACCCTAAACCCTAAACCCTACATCCTAAACCCTAAACCCTAAACCCTAAATATGGAACCCGGAGACTCCGGGCTAAGGCGGCACTTGCCAGGCCTTCTGCGACTGGCTGCACACGTCTACGCCCGGCCCCTTGCCCGGGCCCCCAAGACTGACGATCACCTTGGCTAGGGTTTAGGGTTTAGGGTTTAGGGTTTAGGGTTTAGGGTTTAGGGTTTAGGGTTGAGCTTCAAAGCTAAGGTTTACCTTCTCCTTGAGCTTTATATGAGGCCTGGGTTTAGGGTTGAGGGTAGACTGACAATCACGGTGGCAAGCTTCTTGAACGCCTCGCAGTCCGGGACTTGCGAATGAGGGGTAGGAAACGAAAGGGGGTTGTGGGGGTCCGTAATAAACAGTTTGGAGATGTGATGTATCGCTTCCGGGGCACTGCATCCACTCCCTTGCAGGTCTCGGCAACAGCAGAGGCATCTGTAGAAGATCCAGAGACAACCTGCCATGCTCACAGCTTCGGGCTCGGGGGCTTCGTGCTTTGGCTTTGGATGTCACGGAAATGTGCTTCGGGAATGTGCGGCAGCCTGCAGAACTACCCACCCTAGACCGCCCACTCACTTCTCTTATATAGATCATCGCACACGGAGCCGCCCTGACGATGCTAGAATGCCCTGACTGCACAGCGTCAAGAACAGGGACCGATGGGGATTTCGGGTTTAACGCTCTGGATTCCTAAACGTTACGACTCCGAAACATCATGAAAACGGGTCTGAGTGCACCGCGGCAAGGTCCACCAGCCTGAACCCTGGTCCCCCAAATCAACCGTCCTTGTAGACTCCACAAGCGTGAACCCGAAGATCAAGATCGCGAAACCTACTTGCACAAGCACCGCTTGGGTTACCTCTACGTCTGACTCTTCCGAACCCTCAACCCGAAACCCCTGAAGCCCAATTCCCTAAACGCTAAACCCCTAAGCCCTAAAAGCCCTAAAAGCCCGGACCTGCACGCCAGTCTGCTCCCGCAGCTCCTGCGGCAACTTCTCTGGGCTGCGGGCCAGGCATCGCACTTCCTGCAGGTGACTGGCTTCGGGCTCAGGGTTTAGAGTTTAGGGTGCAGCGTTTAGCGTTTAAAGTTCAGGCAAAGGTTTCGGGTTCGGGCCTTAAGGTATTACGACTTAAGGTCCTTGGGTCCATCATGCCGTTTGCGTGGTCTTCTTGGGCTTTAGGCTTCAGGTGCATGACAGCTCTGAATCCTGAAAAAAGGTGGCACTACAGCCGAAGTTAACCGCAACCTGTTGAGGTCTTCTAAAGTGTAGTGGGCTTTCCAGCAAACACTGGCGGGACCTTCCTCGTTAGCTCATGAGGTCAAGGTGTCAGTTTAGGGTTTAGGGTTTAGGGTTTAGGGTTTAGGGTTGAGAGTCACCCCCAAAAACCCAAAATCCTGAACTTCAGGTTCTGGGAGTTCACCGGACCTTTCCCGAAATCTGTGTTTGGGAGTTCCCGAAACCCTGACCCCAAAGCTCTAAAACCCGAAAACGGAGTTCGCCGGTCCCCCCATTTCGGGTTGTCCTCGACAGTCCCAGATCCAAGAAGCCGGCGGAGGATCTCGACGCCGGTCCCTGGGCCCCGGGTTGAGGAAACCAGAGACCGCCCTCCCCCCCAAAATGAGGCTGGTACCGGTGTACAAAACGATGGTAACAAGACATAATGTTTATGGGTTTAGGGTAAAGGGAAGTCATTACAAAATCACAGAGTTTAGGTTTCGGCTGGCTTGTTGGACTATGCTGCAGGTAGGCCACGGGACACATTGTGGTAGATGGACGTGGTTGAGAGTCCACGCAGAGAGATACTTTCCGGCAGCGGTTGAAGCTGCTAGAGAGTATTGCACGACGATTGCTCAAACACTGACTGTAATGTAGGGGCCTGAACAATTAGAATTTGGTTTTAGGTATGATATACTATACAAAAAATATAAGGAACCCCCAAAATCGTATTGGGAAGTATTAAGGCCCCTACATCAAACACTGACTGTAGCTTCTCGTCAAGATCTTGAAGACCAGGATCTTAGAGGAGTCACACTTCGTGCAGCTATTCTGCGGCAAGACAATCGACACTCTGGGGTGAGCAAACCAAATACTAATGTGCAGGGTCTAGGGTTTAGGGTTTTTGCAGCCAAGACCATGTGATTTCTGATCGTGTTGTTACAGGTGCTCATGCGTACAGTAGTAAGCAGTATGAATTTTGTCTGCAGTCTGCAAAACTAGGAAGACTGAATCTCGGGATGCGCCTGGGCTTTAGGGCTTCAGGTCCGACATACTTCAGCCTGCTGGACACTGAGCATTCGACTGGTGACCTGGTGACGAGTGACAAACGACTGCTACTACAAGCGTTCATGTTACAGAAACCACAAAGTCGAACCGTAGTAGCAACGACAAGCAGCAGCATCGCCATATGTGCGTACAGTCGTGCCTCATGACCATAGAATCCACACCCAAGCAGACACGCGCACACACAGAGGAAAACAAGCAATGACCTCATTCATACACCACAGCAATATCATGCAGACAGTAAGCCAAAAACTCAAAGCCTTGAACCCTAAACGGACCGGGCGAGGTGCCACCTGTGGCCCCGAACAGTGCAACCTTCATGGCTAGCGTGCGAGGAAAAGGCAGCTGAATGAACACCGACGTTGCTTGAGCCCAACATCCAGGACCGATGCATGCTGGATAAGTCTTAGAACACTGCTGGAAAGGGTGAAGTCTCGTGCTTAAGATAGGTTCTAGTGTTCGGGCTCCGAAAGCAAGAACTCCGCGTTGTTGGACCTGCGGGACTGTCTGCTTTAGAAGCTTCCATTTCACTCGGAGGCTTCTGGTCAGAATCTTGTCTGGTCGGCGGCATAACACGGAGCTGGGACTACTCCGAAGCATGGCCAAGGAAGATCGATTCAAGAGAGGCTTGGGGTTCATGCGAGCAGCATAGCAGATGCCAGGCCCATTCCTTCATTCTCCGCTTGACGCGACATTTCAAGGCCCGAAATGCCCCGAATTCCCAACGATTTGTTGGTAACCGCGCTCAAAGCAGACTTAAAGGGAGCCCTAATTCTGGAGCATCCATGAATAAACTACAAAAGCCCAAGACCCAAAACCAGTAGACAGCATTATACAATCACGTGATCTCCTAAACTCGTGGGCTATGAAAGAAACTATAGCTCCAAGAAACTAGTCACTGCTGCTCCAAGCCTCAGCTCAAAATCCCATACTGTAGGGGCCTGAACAATTAGCTATACTATTTTGCGGGCTCCTTATTGCAATGACAGTATTATCGGCCCAAAAAAACCCTATTCTAATTCTTAACGCCCCTATTTTTTATTTGTGCCTGACCACTCCGATGGCGGCCGCTGCGCCATTCCAAAGGCTCTGGAAAAACCCGGGAGCCTCCTCGCGTCACGGAGTCGGAGGTTGAGGATTTGGGGTATAGGCTTTAGGGTTTAGGGCTTCGAGGTTATGGGGGTTTTAGGGTTTATGGTTTAGGGCTTCGAGGCTATGGGGGTTTAGGGTTAAGGGCTTCGAGGTTATGGGGGCTTAGGGTTTAGGGTTTAGGGGGGAGCATGTAACATGTAGGGGATTCGGCCCTGGCTTCACATGGCCGTCTTGCAGGGGCTCCTTGCGGCATGACTCCGTTTAAGGTCTCAACCCCATAGTGCAAACTACCCACCACCGGCTATAGCACTGTAGTGCGATTCATGTAGGTAGTATTATTAGGGGTACCCCTTAAAGGGCACCCCTTCTGAACCCTTCTTTTGGCTCCCTTAAAAGGGACGTTATTGAGAGGATCTATATCCCCGAGGGTCCCCTAATCCTAGCTCCCATCATGAAGTTGGAGAACGCAGAAATATCCTAAACCCTAAACCCTAAACCCTAAACCCTAAACCCTAAACCCTTAACCCTAAACCCTAAACCCTAAACAATGCGTTCGGCGTGCTTCGGAGGACGCAGCCAGGCCCGGCCTGGCCCTGGGCTTTGGAAAAAGGCGGAGCCAAATCCCCCGGGACTCTGAAGGTAAGAGCCCTATGGTGTGATGCCACACGGTTTGGGAACTTGGCCTTGACAGTTGCCCAACCAACCCCAACATGAAAAAAAAAAATGCGGTTTAGGGTTTAGGGTTTAGGGTTTAGGGAATATCGCCACACTACACTACACCATGCCGACGACGACGAAAGCGACGATACTTCTAGCAGCGACGCAGAAGGCCAACGACACCCACCGATCTAGCGCCTATGGACCTTCCGAGATACATAGCTAAAGAACCCTAACAATAATGTAGGTAATTATTTAGGCTTCTATATTAGCACAAGTCCTCCTCTGCCTGGCTCGCTTGAGGCGGGGCCTGGCAACTTCATGGGATGAGGAGCTCTCGTAGCTGGTAATGCCGGATAAAGCCTAGCACATGCATCCGCTAAACCGTCGTGCCAGTCGGTTGAACATGCGGAGACATGTCGAAGATCACATCAAACTCGCTCGCCGAAGCTGCGGGAGGAGATCTCGAGTAAGGATGGGCATGGCGGTCCTCCCCACCCAAACTCGACACCCTAAGCTTCAACCCCAACCTAACCTATCCTTGAATTCTCGGGCCTATGCTGGTTTTGGGGCATGGGAGATCGCAGTCTATGGCGGGGACCTGTTTTGACCCGGTGCTCCGCGATGCCGGCGCTTCCTCCTGGAGCAGCAACAGCATGCAATAAAAGGTTCAGGACTTTGGGAGTTCGGGTGCCTGCATGTTGCATGTTCGCTACTACCAGTAGCCTTGTCAGCATCACGACAACGAGCAATCGCCACTGTGCTGAGTATTGCTCTTATGCTTATGCCCTTGGTCCAAGTATACTTTCAACATGGCATGCATGCATACGCACAGTGGTACACACGTACATATACGGATGCACACTTACACACACACAAACATATGCACCCACACACATACACGCGTACACACATGCACACAAACACACGTGCAGCCACATGCACTTTTGCATAAACATGTACGTGTGCATATACTTCTGCACAGAGACACACACACACATAAACATGCAAGTATACACACATACACATGCACATGCATATATACACGCACATACACATACGTACATGCATACATATACGTATACATATACATGTACATGTGCATGTACATGCAAACAGACACATACACATGCGCATGCGCATGCAAACACACATGCACAAACACGTACAGTACGCTCAAACACATAGATACGTACATACATACAGACATACATACATACATACATACATACGTACGTACATACACACCACTATGTACCACTACATACCATTACACCATTACACACCATGGCATGGCATTACATGCTGTAACATGACATTACATTACATTAGATTACACTACATACAGACATGCAGACATGCAGGCAGACAGACAGACATACAGACAGACAGACAGACAGACAGCCAGACAGACAGACAGACATACGCACATACACACACTCCTACACACGTATGCACATTCATTAATTAATTAGTTAATTAGATAACTAATTCATTCCTTTTCATTAACTCGTTCATGCACACATGCACACATGCACACGCATAAAGGCATACATGCATTCATGCATGCATGCATGCGTGCATACATACATACATGACACGACATGCATGTATACATGCAAGCACGCATGAATGCATGCATGCATGCATGCATGCATGCATGCATGCATGCTACATACATACATACATACATACATACATACATACATACATACATACATACACACATACATACATACATACATACATACATACATACATACATACATACACATATAGAATATAATACCCCAGCCCAGACAAGCCAAGGATAGACTCTCAGGTTTACGGCCAGCATTTAAGGTCCCAGGGTTGGGGTTTCGTGGTTGAGGCTTTTAGGTTTGGCTTCTCCTAAACCCGAAACCCTAACAGAGGATCGTCCTTTCCAAAAAGGGATGCCTCCTGGTGAAGGAAGCGCATGAACTTGTATTTCTTGTTGGTGGAGTTCTTCCTGCCAGCAGAACTGGAGCTCGGTCAAAGGATCGTGATATCCTAATTCGCAGCCCTTACATCCTAGACACTAGATCCTAAGTCTTAGTGTCCTAAAAGCTGAAAAGCCTGCGACTCTGTACCCTAAACCCTAAACCCTAAACCTAAGCCAACCCACGTCACGTCAACTCCCGAGGATAAGGAGCCCCCAAAAGCGGCTTCAGGGTTTATAGGCTGGCTTCTGAACCCGAAAAGGGTTTGGGGTTTAGGGTTTTTAGCCTACTTCTTATAGTTCATATAGAAACCCCCAAAAGTTAAAGTCCTAAGAGCCAACCAGAAGAACGCCAAGGGTTTATAGGGGCCTAGGGTTTAGGGTCAAATCATCACCCGGGCTCTGGAGTTTGAGGGCTTAGGATTTACGGTTTAGCAGAGATTTAGGGTTTAGGGCCTTTTTGGGATTTTTGAAATGTCTTAGCACAGGAAGTTTAGGTTTTCGGTTGTAGAAGGTTGTGAACAGTTTTGGGGTTTAGTATTGCTTTCCTTTTGGGAGCTCAGTCAACTTTAGGCAAGGAAACCCCATACCCTAAACCAAAATCCCTCGACTAAGGGAAATGCCTTATAAAATCATAGTTGGGTCCTAGTAACCCTAAACACTAAACCCAAAAAACCCTGAACCCTAAACCCTAAACCCCTAAAGCCCTAAACCCTAAACCTATAGGGGAGCTGCGCCCCCCCCCAAACCCCCCTGCGGGCTAACGCCATGCATTCTGTTGTTCAGGAACCCTGAACCCATGATAAAGGGGTTTGCAAATCCCTCTCAGAATCCGTGATACAGGTGTTTGCAAATGGGGGGGCTGCGGGCTGCTCCCCCCCCCCCTCCAACGCCCCCGCTTTTT